GAGCAGTTTAAAAAAGAAGAAGAGGCAAAACATTTCATTTCTGGAAGTGAACAGCTTCTGACAACTCAATGTATTTACTAAATACAAATCCAGAAAAAAACAACAAAAAAACATGAAAACCACGTTACGTATTTTTCCAATTCACAATGATGAACTGCTTCATGTGGGACCTTACAATCAAGTAAGACATACAAAGATTTATTGTTGTACTGTAATAAAATGTTCAACATGCCAAATTAATAATGTCTTACCAACTGATGTATTTTACAATCTCTTCTTGCTTCATCCCGCAACTGATGCTGGAGTCCATGTGATCTGGTGGTCCAACTCTATGGCATTATTCATATTGGGTCAATGCTGGATTGTTACTAAAATATCATATTGTTTACTCATCTTCACACAGTTTTTAATTATTCCTGACTGTGCATCCAGGTATGTCATATGTATGTCTGACATGTGGGTTGGGTTGAAGTAAAAGTTTTGTATGTTAGTTTATGCTAGTTCAAGTAACAGGAGCTAGAACTCAATTTTTATTTAAATATCAAACACCATTACATGCTTTCACTTTCATATTTTTTAGATTGTAACAGCTAACTATGAGCACCAGGGGGCAGCAGAACTCTAAACACAGGCTCATCACCTGAAAGCTGGCTGACCTCTGCAGGCTGTGCTGGAGTTGTATATCTTCATGTCTGATTCGGTGGTTAAAGGTGTTTTCTACAATTTGAATTCATAAGAAAGTGAAGCTGAACTAATGACCTCATGATGCTCCTGCTGCAGGAAAAATACAGAGTGGACGTCCTGCACACATGCACATAAAAAACCAGGTGGAGGCTGGAATGCAGATGTACCTCTATAAATCAAATATGACGTCAGATTAGCTTACAGTAATAATGGGATAATAATGATAATAGGGTTGGAGTTATGGAGGGGAATTAAGAGCAGTAACACGATTGTTGTTGGAAACCCTCATGTTTAAGATTTTAAAGCTAAATTAAGTTTTACTTCTAAGACTTGTTCAAAAAATGGCAATGCTAGTAAGACAAATAATTCAAACAAATATTTTTTAAAGTATTTTTCAGTATCAACATGTGAAAATACTAGAAGTGGAACTGTAGAAACGATGTAGGAACAATGTTAGGACGTCAGTTTTTTAAGTATTTTATTCAAAACAGCCTGTTTAATATTATTTACATCCTTCTCAAGAATCACCATAAACATTTTTGTTGGCATTGAACCCTTCTTGTTAATTCTGCAAGGTTCACACATATCTTCTCCGGTATTCTGATGACTCATGTTTTGGGGAAGAGCTCCAAACCTCTGAGTTTGGAAAATCTCTTTGCCAGTACTAATCGGTTTCTTTGTCAGATTCTTCGTCAGAACTGTTGCCCAGGTGCAGCTGGAAAACCTTCAGGTTGCTTCCAGGCAGAAGAAAACATGTTGGCAAAATTAAAAACCTAAATCTTCCCTTGCTGTGAATCACTAATTACTGGAAAAAGAATGCATCCTTCATAAAAGAAAAAAAAATATTTGTGAGGAGAGAGTGCTGACTATTTGGCTGTGGCTGTAGAGAATGTTCTATGCTGACTTTTTATCGCAGTGGTGTCCAGGATTCACGGCAGAAATAAGACATGCATGCTTGGTCTATGTAGAAAAAACAATTCAATCAGCTTGACAGCAATTTAACATCACAAACATGTTTTCTGACTGCTTCTACCAAGGATGTCTTCTTTCCCTTGTGGTAAATGTTATCAGAAATCATCTTTTAGCTTCAAAAACAAAGCTCAGGTTGCAGCGCACTCAGTGATCTGTATGCAAAGACACTCAGTGGTTTTTGTCATATGTGAACTAAAACTGAACACTTGAACTCATAAACAACTACAAAAAGAACACCAGCTGCAGAACGTTGGGCTTACACCAACAGTCTGGTGAAACCACAGTGACGTGAGTTCACCTCAGCAGCTTCACATTTCTGACGAAATGGAAATAAATACCTTTGCTCAGAGGCGCAAAAAGTGGGTATGCAGCGTATGCAACGCATAGGGGCGCAGCACCAGAGGGGGCGCCAAAACCCCGTCTGGAGGGGGCGACGCGCCCATTATGTTTTCCCATACACTTCAGCGCGCCTCACGCTCCTTCACCTCTCGCACATAGCGAGGTAAATGTAGTGATTTTTATACTTCACGTATTGTCGCCTCGGGGGGGTGAGCGTCGCTCCTTCACTCTTACGTTCCTTTCCGGGGGGCCGATTTATGTTTTCGCATCCACCTGAATAATGTGTAGTTGCGCCACTGCCTTTGCTTCTCAGAAACAAGAAAAAGTTGCAAACAGCCGTTCAACATCAGCATTTCAGACCTGCTGAGAGCAGCAGACTGACCGAGTTGAAGAACGGGGCCATAACGATTCATCGAATGTTTCCAAACATTCCATCAAATGTTTCGAATGTTTCCATGTTGTAACATTCGATTCATCGAATGTTTCCTCTCCTCGAGGAAAATTATCTTGAGAATTTTTTTTTTACTCATTAGCGCTTGGTTTCAGCCGGATAGTTATTTGTGTGGCGCAACGCTCTCACTTCACCAATGAGTTGTTGACGAACGCTAACCAGGGTCAGGTTAGCACTTCGCTGTACGCTGGGCAACAATATTCAAGGACCTCATCATCGTGACCACCTTGTGCAATAATTGATGATTGCACAAGTCTGCAGGTTTCGTTTCTGTGTTTTCACCAACTTTCCGATGAGGTCAATTCCGATCAACTGAAACGGTTGTCAATGGTAACCTGTGAAAATAAGTAATTATGCCAAAGTCAACATCAATAGATTACATTTATTTAAATACTGATACTTCTGTATCACTAAGTAGCAACAATTATGAACATGCATAAATTCATTTATCAAACCTTACTTATGATGCTTGATGTGTCAGTAAATCTATTACTGACAAAGGCCAAAATGCCTAAAGGTGTCATGGAGGAGCGTCAGTCTGATGCAAGCCAAACCGCTTACCAGCCACAACAATACACAGGAAATGACTGCGTAACGTTGGTTCCTCTTAGTACCAAGGGCCCTGAAAACACAACAACAACATAACAGCCAATAGTTTACCTTCATCTGCTGGGGATAATCATGACAATAAAAAAAGAAAAGAAAAACAGAGACTGGAGTAAACAGTAATGTGACCCTTATTGCTTAATTCAGCCAAGAAATGAATCATTCTTTATTCACCTCACTACACTCAAGCTCTCCAAAGTGAGAAGTGAGTTAAAGAGCCGAACAGCTCCTGCCAAAAAACAACACCCTCATCCAGCTAGCGGGAGATCAGACATTAAAACAAGAAAATGAGAACTAGACAAGAACAGACAAGTTGCTTAACAAGACAGATGTCCACAGGGCATTGAGATGAGTTATCAACTTGTGGCATGCACAAACCATGAGAGAATTCTGAAGAAGTGTGTGTTTACAAGAAACAGGGTAATGATGAGCAGCTTCTTTCCCAACAAATGGGAGCAGACATAACAAAACCAAAGTAAAGCATTAGTTCATCAAATTTAAAGATGGGACCTGTCAACTAGGCATCGAACCTGTGACGGCCACGTTGTGGCCACGGCCACGGTCTCTTTATGTGAGTTGTGTTTAACCCCTGCACCACCACAGGATCGGTACAGGACCTGTCCCTGGTGAAGCTTGCGTCATGACATCAGACATAGGACACACAATTACGTTCAAAAACATTCCTTCAAATACACTTTTTAGATTATTCTCTGTTTTTAGAGTACAACAGCAGTATTGTCACAGCATCATAATAATACAAATTCAGCATCATAGCAATACAGAAGCAGAATGTCTGCAGATAAGTTTGTTTGGATGTGGAGTTGGACCAGGAGTGGTGATATGATGCACTTCACTGACACAAACTTCAATTTTCACATTCTGACTCAAGTTACTCAATAGGTTGTTGCTAGGTAACCAAAAAGTGAGAGCATTAGGTGATGCTAGTGAGTCCTGGATGCTCATTGGACACTACACTAGGAATCACATACAGGTCACATATATTTGGAAATGTGAATGGTCACAGCAAAAAAAAAAAAAAAAAACGATTTGACAAAAAAAAATTACAATTGGGTCAATTCAGGCTGCAGTGTGAACACAGTCTTAGTCTCCCTCCCTCAGTTCCCATGCTCTCACTCGGCCACAGCTGTTCCACATCTCCTCTGATTAGTTCATCTGGTTCCTCTGTCAGTTTTTAAAGGTTTTTCTTTGCACCTAACATTACTCTTTCCACACCTTGTACCCCATTTGTCTTGTACCTGTTCTGTAAGTTTTGTTTTTTTTATTACAGACAGGAACATTCCAAGTTCCTGTGTGTTCTTTGGCCCTACTTCATGTCACAGTAACCAACACAACAAATCATTAAAGGCAGCGAAGCCTTTAACCCTTGTGCGTGCAAGGACTGAGGCAAATGATACAAGTTTTACGTGTGTGGAGTTGATTGGACCCCATTTCTACATACAAGGCAGAACAAAGAGTGAAACGCACTTTGTAGAGTGTTTCAGGTCATAACAGTGGATATTTATGACAGCCTTATAAATACGGCTGTATTCTGTTACACCAAGGCGAAAGCAGCAAAATAGGTTGTTCACCAGAGGCGGAGCGAGCTGTCAGGTGGAGCTGAGTTGTGAAGCAGGTCAATGTGATCAGTTCACAAGACGTAAATAAATATGTACAGAAATGCACTAAACCTTTAAATCTTCTCTAATTTCTTTAAAATGTTTATTTTTCATTTTCAGTTTTTGCATTTGAATAACACAATACTAGAAGTTACTTTCTCCAGGAATCCCCCACGTTAATATGAAAAAGAAAACAAGTCATGATAAAGGAATGTTTTAAAGACATTTATTTAATCTACAAGAGTAAAACTACATTAAATTATTAACATAAATCATATATTTACATATTAATAGGTGATGTCAGGCTAGTTTTTGATTTATGTACAAGTTCATTTGTTATACATGGCATACCAAAATAGAAAAATAAAAAATAAACGGACTATACAATGCCATGTTACAAGTTGTTCAACACAGTAGGCAGAAAAAAACAAAAACATCCTGATCATCGGACAAATATATTTTTAAGTCTGTTAAATAATATAGACAATAGCTCTTTTTCTTGAAAGACTTGTGATATAATGGGAATTTTATTATGATACAGATGCAACAGATATTTGTACCACTGATATTACATAAAGTGTGTGTGTATGTAAGCAAGATGTGATACACCAGTTTGTTGCTGCTCAAGCTTTATTTGTTGCTGATTTCTAATAGATTTTTTTGTGATTGTTTTGCTGTCACTTAACAAAACACTCTAAGCAACACATGATAACAAAAACACCAAGATTCATAAGATTATATTAATGAATAAAGTCATTACTGTATGATACAAAGTAAGCATGTTAACTCCAGCAGTTATTGAAAATTACCCTGGAGTTTGTTGTCTTCATCAGGTTTGAACAGGAGTTACAGCAGACTGTAAGCTTCCCATCTAAAGACCCAATCCAAATATGCTCCTGTGTGTAACATGGGGAACATGGCAACAGAGGGCCCCATGATAGTTACTTTTTTAAATTATTTTGAATTTAATCACAGATTCTCAGTAACAACCGTTCAGCTCAGTCATGTTTCCTGTAAACTCATCCAAACTACTCAGCTTTTACTTTCATTTTCTTCCAGTGTGAAGGGAGCCAAGTCCATGATCAACATCTAGCAAACTTTGAAATACATCCCTTGTTAATAATTCCAAGTCTGTTAAATAATACAAGGCAATAGATTACAGTTGTCTGCTAATAAATGATTTTTCTGTGATTTTTATTATAATATAGATGCGACAGACATTTGTACCACTGATATTACATAAAGTTTGAGCATAGAAAACAAGTAACATCATACACCAGTTTGTTGCTCTTTAAGCTTTTTTTTTTTTTTGCAGATTTCTAATAGTTTTAGAAAACACACTAAGCAACACATGAAAACCAAAACACCTACATTCATGAGATTATATTAAGGAATTAAGTCATTACTTAGTACTTGGTAATGTTACAAAGTAAGCATGTTAACTCCAACAGTTATTGGCATATTTCCTGGAGTTTATTGTCTCGATCAGTTTTGAACAGGAGTTACAGCAGACTGTAAGCTTCCCAAAGACCTGATTCAAGGATGTTCCTGTGTGTAACATGGGGAACATGGCAACAGAGGGCCCCCATTCCATGATCAACATCTAGCAAACTTTGAAATACATCCCTGGTCCAACACACCTCCATCAAATGACTGAACTCCCTCATCAAGCTTGGGAAATTGTACAGGACTGTGCAAAAAAAAAAAAAAAAAAAAAAAAAAAAAAACTGTCCCTGGCTCCCCAAAGGAAAAAAG